GGAAATGTCTGTTTTTCCTRGATGTATTTTCTCTCCTCTCCTCCTTTTTCCAATGAAGGTTTTCTGGCTTTCATAGCTGTGTGGTGCTCATTAGCATCAGAGCTTCATTAAGTAGCTGTGATTATCTGAGCTTGTTTCAGATCTGCCACGATACAGAATAAACTTAGGCTGACCAAGTTTTAGGTAGTATGTGCTGTTACCAGCCGCATACATTTTCACATCAGGATGTGAGTGACTTCAAAACACAGAACTGTTCATGAATATTTACTAAAATATGTATTTTCTGCCTTCCAGTTTCCATGTCTTTAAAGCTGTCCTTTCGTTGTCCTGTGCAACAGGTAGAAAAAGATTTTCTCTAGCAAAGGTTGRAATGGTCATATGATCCCTGAATATTAACTTGGGGTTAAAGCATAACCAAAATGGCAAATGACGTGTAGATATCAGGCTTGCAAAGCTGCAGGATGGAGCTACAGGTTTACAGTGTATTCACAAGGGCTCAGGGATTAATATAGTTAATTTATGTTTTTTTAGTCATTGTCCCTGCAGTTGAAATCTTGGCTGATTTTTGGTGTAGTCACAATTTCCAGTGTATACATTTTACTAGTTCAAGAGGTTTGGGGTCTGTGGGTGGTGAGGACAGACTGGTGACAGAAGGCAGAGAGTTTAAGTGGTGCTTGGAAGAGGAAATAATTAATATGAAAACTGGGCTGGACATAGGCAGTGTCAGCAGTGTTTGTGGGGTTTGTAGTATGTCATTTGTCCTCTTTCAGTTTTTAATCATCTCATTTTTCCTTGTGTGTTCATTCTTTTCTATGTTTTCCTTTACTGCTGAGTCTTTTCATTCTGCTCATTTATTTCATACTGCTGAGTGTTTTCCTTCTTGCTGCTTTTGTCGAGGCAGACTTTGAGAAGGATAAACCCCAAGCTGCACCTTCCCTCTGTTCAAATAGATTGCCACACCAGCTCTTGGCTGTCCTGGCAGCAGGATTGGGGTTGTGGGTGCAACCATTCCCCTGTCCCTGCCTCCTGCAGCCCTGGGGCTGTGCAAACACCTCCTTGGGCAGTATAGCCTTTGCTATTACATGGGGCTTTCTCCAGGTTGGACCTGGTCTAATGGAAGATGTCCCTGCCCATGGCAGGGGGTTGGAACTGGGTGATCTTTAAGATCCCTTCTAACCTGAACCATTCTATGATTTTGTGATTCTAATTCAGAGCACTTCTCCCTGGCCCACCCTGCTCACAGCAGCCTTCTGCAGGCGTGCAGTCTGCTGTCACGTTTCTCTGCCTTCTCTCAGTATTGACACTGTTTCATGGGTCAAATGCTTTGGGTCTGAGTCTTCCTGTGTTCTGCACCATCTCTTCCTTCCTGGCTCACAGGCAATAGTCCTGTTTGTGCATCTTGGCACAGGTTTTGTCTTTGTTCGGATAACCGGTTCTTGACTCAATCAGGCCCTGTTTTTTCTCTTTTGGATGTTTGGATTTTTTTTCCTTTAAAAAATCTGCTGCTTATTTTCTATCCTGAATGGCAACAACTGAATACCGAAATGCAGCATTTGTTTCTCAAACTTCATCCTGTTATTCTTAATCTCGTGCTATTTGCCAGTATCACCTGAGTTCAATATCAGCAGGTTTATGATTCCTTTCTCTGGTGCATCAGCAGYGTGAGCAGTGGCACTGGACAGACAGGGCCTTAGTGTAGCCTGCCTGGTTTGTGGTTAAATCCTGGATATCCGTGCGTGGTGCCTGCTTGCACCCAGCCTGTTGCAGATTAACCCAGGCATTCCTTAGCTTGCCCATGGGAATGCAGAGAGTGTCTGCATGGAAACTCTGGCCGAGAGGTTAAATAACTCYTATGGAGCAGAGCCCTATAAAGCCATTTGGCAAAGCTTTCAGAGGGGTGTGGTATGTCCTGTCTTTCCAGCTGACCCCAGTGCCATCCTCCCTGCCCAGGGATGGGTTTGCCCTCTGTCCCCTGGCTCTGCAGSAGCTGGCTGTGCCAGGGAGCTTGGCGACTGCCCAGGTTCATGAGGCTGCTTGCAGGGCCACAGGGGAGTCACCTCAACCCCAAAATTTGGCTCTAATCTCGATGGGGGGAATCTTGCTGCTGGAACTGAGTCAGGTCCGTCTGAGTTTGGACCCTGCTTTATTTTATCCCAGGATTTGTCTGTGCCAGCTGTGAAAACAGCTTCAGCTTTAAAAAAAAATAAATCCTGAGTTATGGAGCTCTGCTGTGGTCCCTTGCAAATAATCATAGCATACACTGGTTAATTGTTTATCCATTAACCAACTGTGTCAATTAATCTGACAAAGAGCCCAGCTGTACCTGGCACAGYGGGGAGGGAAGGAGGAGGAGGGAGGATGAGCATCCTCTCCCTGTTGGCTTCTCTCTGTTGCTCTTCCTGCAGCCCTGCTGATGSGCTGTTTGTCTGCTGATTGCCTTCAAGTGTAATTGCTGCCATGGCACGTCCAGAGTGTGTTTGGGCCTGTGTTCTCTTTGGCTGTCAAAAACTTCCTTTGGAAAGGGCCTTAAGTTTCCATGAAGCAAAGGCATCTTCAGACAGAGGAAAAAAAMCCAAACTCTGTTTTGTTTCTAAATGTGTATGCAGACAGTAATACAAAGCAAGATGCTGCTTTATTTCCAGCTAGAAATGCGCAAAGAAATTCTTTGCATGAAGTGCTGAGAGGGAAATAGGATTTTATTGTATATGTTTGTGCAAAGGGAGGCTCTGGGCTCCCTCCTGTCATCTCCAGGGTTATTTGGGAAAGCCTGCTGGCATGATATCTCTTGGGAATGCTGTTTATGCGTGCCTGCTTTCCAGGGAGAACATCAAGCGTCTAGTGCCAGTCTATATCAGGTGGAATGACTTCACTCCAAACAAATGAAAATGTACCTTATGCTCTCTGAATTATTGAAGTCCCCTGCAGTATGCTGTTAGAATAGGAAAAGTGTAAAGCTGCCAAGAGGGAGAACTGGCTTTCCACTAAGTGGTGATGAGGGAGGTGGGGCAGTGCCAGTGCCAAATTCCCAGTGCAGGGAGGCTGCAYGGATAGGGATAACAGATAGGGTAACATCAATGGGGTGAGAACAGTTTGATAACTGAAACAAAACAAAATACAGTAATGATTATAATGAAAGGGGAATAACATTGATGGAAACAAGTGATGCACAGCACAGGAATTGCTCACGACCCCCTGACCAACGTGCCCAGCCCCCAAGCAGTCGGCCCGTTCCAGCCAATTTCTCCAGCTGATATCCTGGGTATGGTGTTTTGTGGAATGGACTATYCCTTTGGACAGTTTGGGTCAGCTGTCCTGGCAATGCAGCCCTGCGATTTTTTGTGCACCTCCTCATTGTCAGAGCATGGGAAACTGGGAAGTTCTTGACTTAGGGGAAGCAGTACTTAGCAACAACTCAAACACCAGTGYGTTATCAACATTCTTCTGATCCTAAACCCAAAACACAACACTAGCTAATAAGAAGAAAATTAAAGATGGGTCCCATCATTCTGTGCACTGTGGCATTGCCTGCCACTGGTGGAAGGTGACAGGGCCACCAAGGCCCTCAGAGCCCTCACTCCCAAGATGAAGCTCTTGCTTCTGCATTTACTTTGGTACAAGAGAAGAGATYGACCCAGTTTTTCTTAATTCAAGTCTGTGTGCAAATGGATTTATTTTTTTCTAAAAGCAGCTGCTTCTAGCATGTTTTTGGGCTTACATGGCATCAGCCTTATGCAGTAATGAAATAATGTACTTGTTTCAAGAGGAAACAATAATAAAGAATGTTCTTTCAAATGCAGCTAAACACATGATTTATTAAAATGTTAAATTATTTCCAAGTTACRGCATACCCAGCTCTTGCTGTGGAGCTCACACAAGAATAATTGCACAGTGTTCTTTGCAGAACTTAACATCAGAAATGTCACACTTTTTTGGAAAAATCATTCTTCAACACAATGTAAGAGCTACCACAAGTATAAATGGGCATCCTTGTATTGGCTTCTGTAATATGTTGCCAGTGTGTCCCATCCATATTTTTTTCAGCGAGCTGTGACATTTATTGCCGAGCAGGACAAAGATTGAAGGGACTTTTTATTGTCATCAGGGAGATACCCAGGAGCTGGAGCCTGGCTGTGTGCAAGGACCAGCAGCTCCACAGCCCCATGGCAGAACYAGGAGGAGGAAGAGGTTTTGCAAATACTCACGAGCGGGGAAGGCTTGTGCCAGTGTCGATTGCCTCATATATCGATTCACTTTTGTTTCCTTATTTTTTTTTTCTTCTTCCTTCCCCATTTTTCTTGTGACTCAGGCTCCTGGCATGAATGGGTGGGAATAAAGGTGGGAAGTGCTTTAGTCACCAGTGCTTAAACACCTCCAAGTGCCACTGTGTGAGTGCCCTGAGCAGGCAGCAGCCTTYCCCTGGCCATGAAGGAACAGTGGGCTGGTCCCCTGCGGCCACCTGGAATGTTGGATGGGTGAGCACAGAAGCTGTGGAATCCACCTTGTTGCWCCCAGGCTTTCTGTGGACCATCAGGATACTCCTGATCCTGCTCTGCTCCCCTGAGAGGAACCTTTACRGCTGTAACTTTTGAGCCTGCTGAGAGGATGGAGCTGTGGGAGAGCATGAGGCATGCAGACACCACAGGCAATTGTGTAAGGTGCATAGAAATAGAGGAAATCTTAATAATRTCAGGAGTTTCTATTACTACTTCAATCAAAGGAAGAATACATAGCAAAAACGCCTACTGATTTTCTGATGAGCTTTTCCTCTGTGCAGCCTCACCTGGGAAATGCAGCGCTGGGTGAATTAAGTCTGGGATTTGGCCAGGCAGTGAGATGATTTGTAGCTTTAGGGCTGAACATTTGGCATTGGGTGTGTAGGATGGGAATAGTTGGGGTGAATGTGGGTAAAGGGATGGGAGTAAGATGTGTCCATGTATTGGCAGTGGTCTCCTTCAGCCCTGCATTTTAGAGAGGGTGCTGACAGCTCTGTCTCTCCGCAGTGCCCCTCGGCTCCTGAGCTCAGGCTCCTGAGATGTCTCTGAGAGCAGAAAGCCATGCAGCCACATCCACGCTGAAGAAGCTCGCTGCAGACATGAGCAACATCATCGAGAGCCTGGACACCAGGGAGCTCCATGTGGAGGGGGAGGAGGTGGACTCGGAGGTGCTCACTGACCCCAAAGGCACCGGTGAGTTCACACCTCTACATTCTCATGCCCTGCCTGGATTTAACCATTTGTTGGCAGGTAGGGTGCAGCCTCAGAGGTTCTGCAAAGCCCAGCCATACCCTGATTTAGAACCAGGAGGCTCCTTAAAACTTGACTAGACTCAAGTCTAGTCCCTTCTGTGTAAGCTTGTCTTTGAGCTCTTTAATAAAAATTGCTATATTWTGCCAGAATTATTGCTGCTGTATAAATGCTCCCATGTTCAAGCATAGCTGCTGTCTGCTGGCTTTCATGCCCTCGTGGATTGTTACAAGGCCTTTGAACTAACAGGGTTTGTGCTCCTTTGCAGTGTGCATTCCCTTCTCTGCCATCTATCACACCCATGGGTTCAAGGAGCCGGGCACGCAGACGTACCTCACGGGATGTCCTGTCCGAGTGCGTGTGTTGGAAGTTGAACGCTTTACTTCCACTAAGAAGGTCAGAACTTCCTGAAATTTTATTTGATTTCTGTTGAATTGTATTTAAAATGCTGTTTGTGTGTTAATTTTGCGCTTACTTGTTCGTGGGCTGAGGAAGCAGCAATGCCTGTGTCTCAGAAAACGCTTAGGAGAGAAGGTTATCTGTCTATTTATAAAATCTAATAAAGAAGAACAAGAAATCGTGAGACAGAATAATCCTTAAGTAAAATTTAATAAAGGCTCTTTAGATGAGCATCTGCAGGAAAATGGCTCATTTCAAAACTTGCATCCCTTGTGATGTTGTTCYCCCCTGCAGGTACCAAGCCCCAACGTTTACACCATCGAGCTGAGCCATGGAGAGTTCGTCTGGCAGGTGAAAAGGAAGTTCAAGCACTTCCAGGAGTTTCACAGGGAGCTGCTGAGGTACAAAGCCTTCGTGCGCATCCCTATCCCCACCAGGAGGTGAGTGTGCATCCCTGTGGACACGGTGGGCTTTGGGAGATGTGATCTTTTTACCTTTAATATTATATCTGTTTGACTTCACTGATCCCATTTACTTTGCTGTAAGGAGGAGAGGGCAGAAGAATTCAGTCTCTATAAATATTTAGCAGCTATAATAAAAATATTTATCTAGATATGTTTAGCAGCTATTATCTAAGTGATGCAAATATCTCTGTGCTGATGCAGAAAACGTCTTCCAGGTTATCAGCTTTTGAGCTGGATTTTGCCTTGGGGAAGGGTTATGATAATGCTGATGGAAATCACTGGAACTCTGTGGCTTGCTGACAGTGTGGGCAGGATGTGGGAGGTGTGGGGGTCYCTGGACAGGCTGTCCTTGATGGTTGGAATGGCTGGAAATACAAGAGGAGAGAGAAAAGAAATGAGAAGCGGTGTAGCCACTGGGTGTAGCCTCCTGATGTAGAGACATGTTCGGATATGGTAGGGAAGATGAAATTATGAGAGGTTAAGGGCTGGAGGAACATAGAATGTAGGCTCCTTTTTCTTATGAGGGCAAAAAGTGGCCCTCAGAAATCAAACTCTGATATTTCTGTATTGTGTTTTAGTTTGTGAGCCAGGTGTAGCATACTGGCTTCTTAAATGAATACTCACTGTCTTTTTTTTTTTTTTTCTGTGCTGCCCACCCATCAGTTTTTAAGATCTTGGATAGGAAAAATAAAGGCATTGCAGAAGAGGGGTTATGTATCAAGGCATGCACATACTTGCAAACACCAAGACTGATGTTGGGGTGTGTTTTTCMTTCCAGTCACACGGTGAGRAGACAATCCATCAAAAGGGGAGAGCAGAGGCAGATGCCAAGTCTGCCACACACTGCAGAGAGCACKGTGCGGGAGGAGCACTTCTCTAGCAGGAGGGTAAGTGCCCTCCTCAGTCTGGGGACCAGAGGGAAACTCTGAGGTACAGAGAAGCCAGGTATTTTGCTTGCAAAGCCACACACTATCAAAACCCTTGTTTGTTATCATTACAGTAGTTTGTATGATGAGGATGCTGCTCCTGGGGCTTATGTGGGAAAAGCTTTCCTTTGCAGTTGAGGAAGACCATGATGCTGGGAGTGGTGATTCCCCTCCTTCCACCTGCTCTGATTTAAAGACAGACAAGGCAGTTTGCAGAGTCAAGTTGCGTGATGGAGGCAGCCCTGTGGCCATCAAAATCTGAGAGATTTCAGTGCTGTCCCCTTCTGAAAGAGGAGATGACAGTCAGACTGTCGAWGCTGAAGTGGGTAATTTTAGCCCAGGCACACGTGTTCTGGGTAACTTCATCAGATGTTAACAGATGGGCCCTTCCATGGAGAGGGTGGAYGTCTTCCTACCTCTTCATTGCAGCTTTGCTGTTTGTAAGTTAAAAACTCCGTGTTTGTTCAGGCTGTGCTTATCATTCTCTTGCTGCTGCTCCCTCCCTCCCTCCCTGGGCTTTGTGCCACTGGAGCTTCAAGGCCCAAAAGATTAAAGGATTGTGTCTTGTGGCTGTGCCATGCAGAAACCCTGCTGTTCATGGCTTCTCCGATGTGGGAAGTTTCAGGAAAAAGATGTCGGTTTAAAGGAGGAAGAAAACCATTGTATAGATACTTTTTTTTTTTTTTAAGCTTATGTTTCCTTTGAGTTTACTTTGTGTCCTGTAGGACTCTGCCCAGTTACCCATGCCCAGACAGTTAAATTTTTTTCTTTTCCCTTTTACAATGAGGATGGGAAGAGATTACTTTTCCTATAATGGTTTCGTCTCTTATCCCCTCCCAGCTGGGGACGACACGCTCAGCCACTGCTCTCTCTGTGTCTTTGGGACAGGACAGCATAGTCCCTGTGTTCCTCACCCCATGAACCTTTTGTTTTGATTAAACAGGCTCTCTCAGTTGCCTCTGAGCCTGTTTTTTCACAAAGCTGATTCATGTGGGTCAGAAACAATGAGGACTGATTTTGTATTTAAAATTGTTCTGAAACTCTGKCTTAGTCAAGAAAGCTGACCTCCAAAGTGACCCTGCCATGGAACAGCTCTGCTGGTAGAAGGTACAAACACAGAACTATGAACAGTAAASAACCTGTGACCAAACTGTTTATGGTACTGAGCTATAATATCCCATGAGCACATAATAATGTGTTTATTTATCTACTCAAACTGAAAAGTGGGTCTGATTTCTTGATTGCTTCCTAATACCAGACAGTTGATTACAGGAATTTTCAAGAAAAACCTCCACATCCTGTCTRAAGTTTCAACATTTTAATTGTAGAAACAGCTGGAGGACTACTTGACAAATATCCTGAAAATGCCAATGTACAGGAACTACCATGGAACAGTAAGTAGAAATTAGTTTGTTTAAATGTCTAAAGAATATTCACTTTACAAATGCTGAATTCATTGGAAGAATTTTTTTTTCTGCAAAAAAAAAAAACCAACAACATTTTACAGCTGTTTTGTGAGCGTTTTGGCTTAACTGATTTTTCCAACACAGATGCAATGTGATTCAAACCAAAGGAATGACTCAGTCTTGGAGGTTGCTGGTATAACACAGTGATAACCTCCTCAAGCTAGTCCAKTCCAGACATCTGGCTGTGCATGTATGATATAGTGGAATTGTTTATTCTGCAGAGTGCTTAAGATGACAAAGTTTTAAATGSTTTAAAAATTGGAATCCAGACTATATTTATAATTGCTCCTTCAGTGTGGGTTTTGTGTGTGGTTCTGGGTGCAGATTTGTCTCAGGTTTCCATTCTGTGGAGTTTCACTGGACATTAATGATGTTGAGTTTGTGTGTCTGTGGTACCCAGAGAAGTGAATGGGCATTTTATCAGTTCCAAAAGGGAGATGGTCCTTGGCTTATTTACCCAAGTTCAACACTCTTTCTGAAATGAGGAGAGATGTCAAATTCAACTTTAGGCCTATTTTAAGCAAAAATATTTCTTTTGAAATTCATCCTTGAATGATTCTTCAGAAGTCCTCACCTGTCAGCCGCGATTGTGACATCTCTTGGGGATGGTAATTTATTTCCCCTTTTTTTGGCTGTATAATGACTGTGTTACTTTGTCTTTTGTATCTCCAGAAAAATCTGATGCACGCACTGAGTAGCTGCCGAGTTTAGTGACATTTCTGAGCACAGTGATAACTGGGAACACCTGGTTTTCAAACAAGCCAAAAATACAGACTGAACTTTAGGTTTCTGTGGCAGCCAGTTCTCTTCCAACTTCTTGTTGTTGTTAGATATTCTTCCATTTTGCAGGATTTCAGTTGTGTAAAGGTACACAGCAGCTCAAAGCTGGATATTATGTATGAAAACTGTGTGTGCTCTATTGCAGAGCTCAGTGTTGAGCCCTGCATGTTCCATGAGCCAAAGTGCTCGTTGTGGTTGGCCATTGTGCTCTGGATGGCAAGAAATCTTCAGTCCAAGGCTGAGGAAGCTGCATTGCTTAGAGTGCTTCTTTAGGGGACAGGCTGTGGATTAATTCCAATGCAGTGAAGAGCTGTGTAAGTCTGCGTGTGGAAAAGAGTCATCYTTTGTTCTAGAAGCTAGATTGGGATAACTTGGCAATTTTGATCAGTAGCATATGCAGAGCGGGGGAGAGCTATTTYACAGTGTGGATCCATCTTGTCACTGTTAGGCAGGCGTTGTCTTTTTCAAATATTTTGGAACATTTCTGCTCGTATGAGAACGTGGGTGATGCTTTGGCCAGGCTGTGGTTTGAGACTGGCTGTACAGTGGGGGCTGGGGGAGGAGATGGGCAGCCCTGCCTTGCCCAGGCAGCTGTGGGGTGCTCCYCTCCTGGGCTGAATCGCCCTTCTGTCCCCAGCCCCCGGAGCCAGATGTCCCTTTGCACATAAATTCTCAGTTTATTGTTGGCTTTCACTGGATTTGGCCACAGTGAAGGGTTCAGGGAAGACTTTGCTGCCCATGGTGGGGGCGTGGGTCCTGCGGGCAATGCTGGAAGAAAGCACAGGGAGGGAAATGCTTCCTTTMAAACAACACCAAAACAACCCCCACCATTCTCAGACCAGGCTAAAGTGAGCATTTTTGGCACTTTCCCTGGAACTGTATTTGTCCTCCTAAGAACAAAATGAGGGCTTTGCTCTTCCTGTGGTTGAGAAGTCTTTTGCCTGGCTGCTGGCRATTTCTATAACTGTCTTCATCTTGGAGCACATTTGGACTTCTCTGTGTTCCTCTCATCAAATCCATTAACTGAAGAGTTTTTTTTTTTTTTAATCCTGAACTCTGTAAAGTCAGACATGGAATTGCAAAGGCAAGCTGAGACCTTGTCTGGAGTATAACCCTTGGTCATTGTGGAGAGCCTGCTTGAGTCAATAGCTTCTCCTAGGACATGGTTTTTACATCTGAGCTGCACAATTTAATGCATTTGCTTTTTTATTTGTTTTATTTTGCATTTGTGGTTAATTTATTATTTGCCAATGAGAGCAARCTGCCTTATACATTGTCTGGAGTATGTGCCATGTGCTGAAAGTCAAGCCTGCAAGTCAAGCTTGTAGCTGTATTGCAGATCTGAAGTCTCTGGTGGGTCAAGGATCAATTCCACRGTGACCACATGGCACTGTAGARGTTATACATCCTCTAGCATTTTAKATATATTTTTAAAATTTTGGTTATGTGATTAATCTCTTGTCTTCTTCTTTCCAAAACCTTTTTATAGTTCTTTTGGGCTGAAGAGCTTCAAGACAATTACCATTAAAATAAATGTTGTGGGAATCTGTGTGTTAACTGTTCACACTTTTTTTCTGGAAATTGGAAATTGGAAGAATATAGCCTCAAAATGTTAAAGCTTAATTGGATTCTATGTATAAATTTTATTAATATTTTTGTATGAGCTCCCATACTTGAAAGATGCCCAAACAAAATGAAAGATAAGATTTGGTTTGAGTTTGTGTATGTGTGTAATGTTCTTCATGAACTGTAGAGAGAGTAAAAACCTCATCTTAAGTGGAAGCAATGCAATGTAAGAACAGCTGAGAAGTGAGAGTGGCCACTGGTTTGCCTCTCATACAGCCCTTGGRCCTGCAGACCTTTGTGGAGGTCCCCACCCAACCCATCAGTATTTTCAGTTGAAATGCACTTAAAATGCAGCACATCTAGTGATTTTTAATTAAGGTTTCATATAAGCAATTTTTTTTGCATAAGAAATTTTCCTGGACAAATTAATTCTGAAGAGTGTGTAATTGCATTTTATTACTAGTTACCGGTGCTAATCAGCTTTTGATGTRTTTTTGAACCCACTAAATTAAGAGCAAGAGTCAAAATGAGAAAAACAGTGTGGAGAAGCTGGATTCTTTCTGAAATGCGGATGCTCTATGAAATTTTTATGTACATAAATGATGCATGCTTCACATTGCTGGCAGGACAGGATAGTTTGAACACCTTGCAGCTGGTTCTCCACCTTCCATAGCCCATCCTCCTGCAGCCCATCACTCCCATCCGCCTTTTTATTTTCCTTTTCATTGCCACAACAATGTCATTGAAGCTGCATTCTCTAGGCCTTTATCTCATACCAAAAACATGCTGCAGTGGGTCACTCTGAAACCAGAGTGGGATGCCAGATCCCAGGGAAGGCAGCTGGGCAGTGCAGGAATTCCGATGTGACGGAGATGAAAGCTCCTGGCTGCCCTGCCTGCCTGTCCCAGTCTGTCTGTGAATGATGAGCACCTCAGATGAGGCACTGTGACAGTAAAAATAGCTAATGGGGCCGTAATTGTAACAATAAATCATTCCATCAGGTATTTTGCACTACGCTGAGGAATTTTCCTTCTTACTGGAGGAATTTAAGGGTTTTTTACAAACCAACACTTGATCRATGTGTTGGATGGGCTCCTGTCATTGCTGTTCCAAAGATTCTTTGGATGAAGAGGGGATTGCTGTGCTACCAGACCATCTTTCTTTTTCTTTTATGTAGTGGTAGTTCTGTTTCTGCAAGTAGTTTTTTCTCTTGGTTTTTCTTTTTACTTCTTTGAGGACAATTATTTCTCTGCATGCAGTGCTTCTCAAATTCCTGCCAGTTTTCTGGTTCCAGCCAGCATTTTCAAAGGGTTTTGACATTTTTATGCTGTTTTTGTATGTGTGTCCACTGTGAGAGAGATGTCTGGGTTTCTGATTTGTCTGAATGCCATGAAGAAGTTAAAATGGGATCCAGGCAAAAATTGGCTGAGACTTTGCTTGGGACCTYTGATAAGGGTTTGTAGGGTACACTGGGTTTTCAGGTGCTTCCCACTCTGCTYTGTCACTGCAGAAACAGCTGAAATATTCATAGGTCACACCTGGTGCTTTTCCAGAACATGTACAGAGAGCAGAGAGCAAGATGGTTTGTAAAAGCATGGAATGACTTGTTCTAACCTCCTTCTAAAAACAGGCTGAAATCACCCTAAAATCAAAGCATTACTTTTGCCTCAGCTGAGTAGAGGGTGCTTTATGTTCTTGAGATACTCAGAGGAAAGCGATAGTGTCTTTTGTTGTCCATGGCCTTGGGTGATATGAGAAGTTTGGGAAGGTCCCAGGAGCAGCTGAGCATGAGGAGATGGGAGGATCTTCTGTCCTACTGCTGTTTTCTGGGGAAAAGTTATGGTATTGAGAAGGGAACCTCATCATAATGGCAAGAGAGGCTTTGACCCCAAATTTACTGATATTTTTTGTTATACTTACTGTCTAAAAATATCTTTGAGACTTAGGGGTCCTCCGATGTAATCCTGTGCAGAATTGGATTTTGAGGCCCTGAGATTTGCCAAAGAGCAGGCGACAGTGGCTCTTTCCTTGAGAAGAGAGAGCCTTTCCTTGGAGTTGCTGTGGGTATGGGTGGGCATGTCCTAGGGTTGGTACCAAGGCTGCCTCCTGTCCCAGCTGTGATCAGGAGCGTGGGCTGAGCCCTGGACTGCAGCCCCAGCAGGGTTCATTGCCAGAATGTGCTGTTAGAGGTTCCCTCTGGCTTGCTGCCTGGCCAAGGGGACAGTGCCACTTGCCCTCACCCTGCCCTGAGCACCTTTCTGCACTTGGACAGCTCTATGTGACAGTAAATTAGAAGCCTGGGTGCGGACAAGCTTCTGCTGTGCAAGGTGACTCCTTCCCTGTCCTGCACAGGACACCCTGGGAGGGTGTTTCTCCCTGCTAAAGGGGCCCAGGGCTAATATCCAGCAGACTGCCAGGAATGTCCTGCTGTGCCAAGAAAAGCCTGCTGGGTCGAAATTGCCCAGTGTCCTATTTTTAGAGGTGAATGTAATCGTGCTGAGCTTTCTCACCGGCTTTGCTCGCTGTTATGTTCCCTGCTGAAGCAGGAGGAGCCATGAGGAGGCAGCTTTGACTTTGRGATTTGAACTTGTTCTCCTCCTGCCCCACTGTGGCTTTTCTGTGGATTTTTGGCTCCTTGAACCAGATRGGCAGTGCTGTGTGTGCTTCACTGATCTGCTACAGTGGCCTTGAACGATGCTCGTGGGCTGTGGGGTTGACCCTTCGTGGTGTTCCCATGGGGTGGAGGGTTTAAAGGGTGCTTCCAGCTCTGGGCCCGTGTCCTCATTCCCTTTCCAGTCCCTGGAGGGAGGAGAGGATTCAGCCAGCCAGCCAAGGTCATCCAGACCCCCAAACAGTGTTAAACTTGAGTCATTGTTTCAGCCAAAGATCCAGCGGGGAGAATACTCTTGTGTCCCTGTGATACATTGAAGCTTGATTGTCCTGGTTGCCTGATTCTCCAAGTAYATCTAAAACAAACAGAAAACTCAACCAAGCAACTTGGTCTTCTTGAAGATGCCTAAGTGATGGTGAATAACATCTGCTCAGGGTCTTCTGTAGGTTTTGTAGGTCTTCATGACAAGTCACTTGGATCAAGAAAAGAATTTTTGGATTTGTGGATTTCAGAGTTATAAAGATGGGGGAATCTCTTTCTCTTTCCCAGATGGAGTTTGTTGGAGTAAGCCAGCTGTCATTCATCCACGACCTGGGACCGAAGGGCATGTGAGTTGTGAGCTGTGTCTTAGTGAGTTATGATTCACTAAGAGCGTGGCTTTATAAATAAATACTGTTAAAATTAGCAATTTTCCTTTCTCACCAGTAACTGACTGGAGAATATTTTGCCATGCAGATAGGAAAAATCTTTACTATTCAGACRGAAATACTATAATTTGGAGAAATGGTTTTGACACCGGGCTGCTTTGAGAGAAGTGGCACTAATGGGATTTCTATCATCTCCTCTCTGCAGCCTGTTGAGCCACTGAATTTTCTGATTCCTGTGCTATAAACAGGGCCCTGTGCTTCTTAAACCTCATTTTTTTTTCTTGGGGTGGGTATTTTTGCCCTTCATCCAGCTTTCAGAGGCTGCTTGGGCACAGTTGGAGAYGACAGGAGCCAGCCCTACACACAAGAGTGGAGGGTTCAGCAAGCACCCCCTCCAGAAATCCCCCCTGTGCCTCCAGGTGAGCCACACTCCCCACCCTGACCCTGTTCCTGTCCTTGCAGAGAAGGGTTCATCATGAAACGCTCCGGGGGCCATCGCATTCCTGGYCTGAACTGCTGCGGCCAAGGGAGGATGTGCTACCGCTGGTCCAAAAGGTACTGCTGGGGTGTCAGAAAGAGAGATGCCATRTTCTCCTTGGGCACACAAAAATCCCCATTTGTCCTTTTCTCCTAAAAATTTTGTGGGAGAGAATCTTTTTTTTTAATGAAAGCCACAGATTTTCAGGTTGAAAGCATCTGTAGGCCGTTCCCTGCCCCACCCTTATGTGTGGTGGGTTTTTTCTTCTGCTTTGGAGTTCACAGAAGGGATGTGTTACTCCAGAGAAAATCTGGGATTTCCTCGAGCTCACAAAAATAGCAGTGACCTCCTGGATTGTGCCCAGCTTTCCCTGCTGCAGGAGCACAGGTGGCTGTGTGCCTTGGGGAGGGAATGTGGTTGCCCCAGGCAGATTTCAGCCTGGTTTTCTGAGTTTCCCTTCCTCAATTTACAAAATGAAAATCAATTAATTGAAATACTCTTTGGACTGCTTCAGAGTGGGATCAAATCAGATGTGGCCTGCAGCGCTCAGGAGCTGTTTGGTTCAATTAACCCTGGCATTAAATATATTTCCTCTTGCTTATTACTGCAGGTATTGAATCCCAGTGTTTTCTCCTGTTCYCATGTCCCTCCTTGCTGCAGACAGACATAAAATATTTTCTGTTCCCATCCCTTTACCCTCTGTGTTAGATCTTGCWGTTGCCTGGGGATGCAGCACAGGGAGTTGTGTGCTGTGGGGGAGTACTTGTGTTACCAGCCAGCATCCAAAAAATGCAGGGTATATTTCCTGGAGCATGCCCTTCTCAGGCAAATCTTTCCATTTGCAAATCCAAATAGCCCATATCTGCCCTACAGCAACAATTTCTTGATCAGTGGTGCTTCCCCAGGTGTTATACACCTTTGGATTTTAGCATCACCCATGAGCTGTCATTAGTTTTATATTTTATAGTTCTGTTTTCCAGCAAAACTTTTCTTGTGAAGAAAAGGTGCTATTTCTTCACAGTCTTTCCAACATTTCTTAATCCAATTTTACAGAAGATGTCTATAATGAGGGCACAAGGAGATAAAGATGTGACCTTCCTTCAGGTCAAATCCTTAAATTGTCACCGAGTCTTTCTCTCTTTTATGGAAAAAATGCCTTTTCCTCTTGATACTTCTCAGTTAACCCTTCCTTATGTTATCCAAGCTGTAGTGGGGACCATAGCACATCCAGTTCTAGGAGTTCTCCATTTTCCTTTAAAACCTAAAAAGGAAGTGGGAGAAGTGTTGAGTGGGATTCTGTGCAGAATATCACAAGTGGGGCACCAAATTCCCATCTTTGCCCACTGGACTGACAGTTTATGCATTAATAAATAAGCAAATAACAGTAAAATTTCCCAGAGAGGATTATTTAAAGGAAGGATTTTAGGACACGGAGGAGGATAATGGGGTGAAGCCGTGAATGGGCACAGGCAGGGTTTCTCAAACATGTAGAGCTGCCTGGGGAAAACAGAAGGGAGAATGCTTGGAAATGTACCTTGTGGGATGTTTAAGAGTGAAATTATGGGCCAAATAGGGAGGGCAGGTTTTTTGGCACCAAATGAGAGGTGATGCCAGGTAACTCAGGGCTCTGAAAGAAGAAAAGAAATTATGAGATCTAATAAATAATTATGGGARGTAGATGAGGAGCTGAGGCTGTTACTAAAGATACAAGAATGAACAGATTTTTGYGGTGTTTTGTGTTGCTTTGTGTATTTCTGAGTGTGCAGAAGAATGAAGCGAAGGTCTGGTGATGGAGACCTGTGTGGGACAGAGGGGGCTGGTTACCCCAGCTACGCTGCAGGAGGAGTAAAAATTAGAAATGCCATTCACAGTAAAAAAATGTGTTTTTTTCCCAGAGTTGCCTTTAGGCTACAGTATTTATGTAAAACCTGCCGGTCATCCCTCCTCATGTGTTTCTAACAGGGTGCTTGTTGCTTGGCAATAAAAGCTTTCCAAAATGGCTTGTTCGTATATTTTGATAGGARTGAAAGTGATCCTAGCATCAGAATTAGTGTTAGAAATGTAAAATAACTCCCAWACAGCATACAAGCTGAATAAAAATCAGGGATGGAGGAATCCTTGTTGCACCTTTGCSTGGTGCTGGGAGGTTTATGACCAGGGATCTTCTCACAGATTTTTGTTAAACAAGGAAACCTGTATTTTTAAAGACTCCTGTATAAAGGAATTATTAAAATWTCTCTAGAAGTCCTATATTGAATTAAAACTCAATACCCAAGTTCATAAAATAGACACTTTGCTGCTCAAGAAAACCACCCCCTGGTCTACCTCCTGAGAAGATTTTTTACCATTTGCTAAATTTCTCTGATAAATGATTTGCACTTGTTTTGAAGAAGCACTTCTCCATTTCATTAGTTTCTTTCATGTCTCATGTTTTGAGGCTGGCATGGGTGTGATATCCAGGTGACRTGGTTGCTGTGTCTGTGCAGGTGGCTGGTGGTGAAGGACTCGTTCCTGATGTACATGAAGCCTGATTCAGGGGCCATTTCTTTYGTCCTGCTGGTGGATAAGGAATTCAACATCAAGATAGGCCAGAAAGAAACAGAAACTAAATACGGTTTGCAGATTGACAATCTCTCCAGGTAAGAAAACAGCTTTGTTTATCCCCTTTTAGTTTGCTTTTGCTTTTTTAAAGGAGGAATCGATGCTGCTCTGCAGGAGGKGTTAAGAAGCCTGGGTGGCTGCTGCTGGTGTGCTCAGGGCTGCTGGGGATTTAGCCCTAATGCTGATCATTTCCGATGTCTTAATGAGGCATTTGGAGCCTCTGTTTGTCCATCCCTGTGGTTATTGCTGTGGCCTGGGGGCACGGTGCATGCTGAGTTGCACAGTCTGGTTTGGCAGCAATTGCTTAGGTAATTTTTTAGGCACTTTGTTCTCTTTATGCTGCAAGCAGGGATGTTTTCTTCTGAATCCCAATGGAGTRTTACTCAAAAGACATGCTAGTGGGGGATAAAGAGATATTTAACGTTTTTATGTTAGCACACAGTATAAATTCACCTCATAAGAAGTACAACATTAGCTGGCTCCAACTCCAAGTTAAGCTGGTGCTAATAATTTAAACATGGGTGTTTTTTTTATGCTTGGCAGTGCAATGCTGTTAGTCACTCACAGCAGCTCAGTGCTGTGCATTCTCTTGCTAACAAGACAGCAAAGTCCCTACTTTTTGTGTGAATGAAGTATGACTGGTACCGATGCATTTACCAGCATGGGCAGGCAGCGAGGAGCAGCCCAATTAAATGGAAGTGGCTTCAGCCTCCTGCTCTGTGCGTGGTGTGTTTTTCCAGGTCGCTGATTCTGAAGTGTAACAGCTACAGACATGCCCAGTGGTGGAGGCAGGGCATAGACGAGTTCATCCGCAAACACGGCAAGGACTTTCTGACGGAGCATCGCTTCGGCTCCTACGCGGCCGTGCAGGAGAACACCCTGGCCAAGTGGTGAGGATCTGTCACTGCCTGCCCTCAGCACCCTGGCTCTGGTGGACAGGGCTGGGAACCTTTAGTAGCTGGTGGGGTTGGTGAGAATTAAAGAAGTTGCAAAAAAATGAGGSTTTCTTCACCAGGAACAGAGTAACTGTGCTGGTGGCAGGAGCTGTGCATCACAGCTGATTGTGTTCTGCAGCGTCAAGTTGTGTTCCAATTTGAACACGTTGGGTATTTGTCATTGTAAGGATAAAGAGAAGAAAAGGGAATCGACAAATGCAAATCTGGGTATAGTCGGACAAAGACTGGGCTTTATGCACACAGCAGTCCCTGAGAAATCCTTCTGTCTCCAGTGTAAACTGATTGCACTAATCCATTCCCAGAAGTGTCTCAAAAACTGGATTCTAGCTGGAAGCAGACAAGTGCTTTCATTGCAGCTTCTGCCTTACAGCAACTGGTGCCTGAGTGGTTTCCATAAATCAAAGGAATCACCACTCCACCATCCTTTGCTGGGAGACAAACCTGGCTTGCACCTCAAGCAGAGCCCAGGCATATTGTGAGGTTGGCAGAAGTGCCAAGTGGCACTTAATAATCATTTATTGTGCTGTTTCATAGAGCTACTGATAGCAGCATTGAATTCTCCCTGCTTGTTGTCCTGATTCTTGAAATTAGGATTGTGTTTGCTTTCGAGAAGAGAACGTAAATATCATTAACATAGAACCCCATCACTCTTCAGCCGTGTACTGTGTTTAATGAAGGGGAGGAGACATAACTCTGCACTCTTTTTGCTTTTGCAGGTATGTCAATGCCAAGTGGTACTTTGAAGAYGTCGCAAATGCCATGGAAGCCGCCAAGGAGGAGATTTTCATCACAGATTGGTGGTTCGTGCTTACWCGTTCGGGTGTTGCCCAGCTGTCTCCCCGGGGAACGCTCCTGACAATGTGGCACTGTTCAGGGCCCTACAGTATGGCARCTAGCCCTGCAGCCAGATGGTTTGGCAGCACACCCAAACCTCTCCTTGTGTTGTATTCAAAGGCCTTTTCAGGAGGGCTGGCAGCAAAAGCRCACGCTGCAAATCAACAGCTTGGTTGTGTCCCTCCACGGAAATGTCTGAAATCACACTGAGGCACCACCTGAGCTGCAAGTGTGGCTTGAGGTGCTCATCAGGAGTGCAAATCACTGCAGACCTGAAGGGCATGGGTGTCTTTCTGTGTGTAAGAGAACAGGGATGCTCAACAGTGCTTTTGCCATGGGGTCCTGCATGGGAACCTCCTTTCATCTCCTCGCTGCCTTGGGAAGCCTCATGCCAGCAATGAGAGCATCTTGTGGGTGTGTCCTTTTGGTCTTCTCTTAAATGGGCCAGATAAGGGAGGAGAGGAGTTTTGTTGCCCTTTCTGAGCTGTGTGTCAGCCAGACGACCTGGTTCTACCCACTTCTTACCTCGTTAATGTGTTTATGCTGTGCCCTGGTTCCTGTTTGTGGCAGAAAAAGGGTTCTCTCACAGACTGGGCAGAGTTTCTTGGCTGGGGGCTGGTTGTGGCTGCCCATGTCCTGCCTTTCAGGAGGTCAATCTATCCAAGCCTACCTGGACCATGGGGATGGGAGGCTTCCAAGACATGACTCAGATTTTCTGTTCACCTTGGGCACATCTCTGTGCTCCTTTTTCTCTGTCTGTGAAATGAACCTCTTGCTGTTTATCCACTACCTCCAACTCTTTCCTCATTCTTAGGTGGAAATTATTATGAGAAAACTACATGCAATGGTATCGTTTAGTGGAGTAAATCTGTCTCCTGCCATGACCACAGTTAAACCTGATGCTCCTGGGTTCCTCTACACAACATCAGAGCATCCCATTTCAGACCCATTGTCTCTTTCTTCATGTTTTATTCAGACAGTAAACTATCATGGAAATCCGTAACTTTCCTGAAACTTGGTGCATAACATAAAAATAGGATGTAGCAATAGCCTTTATCCAAGCCCAAGTTCCCATGCTTGGTACAAAATTAAAGGAATGAAATTCTGTCAGCTTGCTGTGCAGGAGTTAGATGAAATTGCTTAACTATTTCTTGTAGTCCTTGAAGCAATAAAATGTCCTGTTGAGAGATCCTGTTGCTTTGTCTTCAGGCAGCAAGGAAAATTCAGCACAAATCTGTGCTGTTCAGATGGCTCAAGTGCTGGAGAACTGAAATCCCACTCTTATTTATTTTTTATGTCTGCATATTTCTTTCAAGTCTACCTTGGGGTTTTCTTTTGTTGCATCTTTCTTTCACAGATAGAGTCCAAATTTCCCTATTTATACATCATTGTTAAACCTGGTCTCATGGGTTGTTGAATACTAAGATGAATGTGCTGGACATGTCCCCTGCTCTCCGTAATGCTCAGTTATTAAACAACAAAGAGCAGGATATTGGAGAATGCATCACTCTGGGACATGAGCTTTCACATCCACTTTATTTAAACTTCAATCCCTTTGCTTCCCAAGTTGGTTATTTAGGTCAGTGCTTTGTTTGCAGGCTACATCTTGCTGTGGTTTTTATATACCTTTATTTCCTTAGGCTGAGCCCAGAAATCTTCATGAAGCGACCGGTGGTGGARGGGAATCGCTGGCGGCTGGACTGCATCCTCAAGAGGAAAGCAGTAAGTGAGCTCCAGCAGCACCCTCCACCCTGCACCTTCCAGCCAGAGGCTCATACTGGGCCTGGAGCAGTTCCACCATGCATTTTGGTAGAGATGAGAGTTAAAGYCTCAAATCAGATGGTCTTGGAAAGCCACATCTTTTTATTTCCCCCCCATCCGGGTTAAGAAGTGCACAGTTGGCAGAATGGTAGATGCTCTTGATTGCCCCACGTTTTGGACACTTCTTGGTGGGGTCAAAGACCTGCTGCTGTCTGCTGCTCTCCATGTGATTTATGTAACTGAGGTACAGGGCAGGCTGAGCACTTTGTGTTGTGTTTATGAGTGTGGGCTCTGCTCCAGCTGTTCACACACCCTGTGATAACACCAGTGCTGAAAAGCTTTGCCCCATATCAGCAGTGAGTCAGAAGGTTTATTCCCATGGCTGGGAAAGGTCTTGGACTCTAGCTGTGGTAGAAGGGCAGGAGTCCACATGGGAGAGACTTTAAACTAAAAGGAGGTGGGTTTAGATTAGATACTAGGAACATATTCTTCTCAGTGAGGGGAGTGAGGCCCTGGCACAGGTTGTCCAAGAATTTGTGGCTGTGTGACCTCACCAGTCTTGTTATCTTGCAGAGACATTTAACTGTGGGCAACCCTCAGGGCAGCAYGAAGCAGCAGAACACTGAACTTTARTGGATGAACACAAYTGGAGTGAATCACATTTGCAAAAAGTACCTGAAAGGGTGTGTAAAGGAGCTACTGCAGGAATCATCTTTTGATGGGTCTTGTCGTAGCTCAAACAAAACCAGCAAAACCCCCCCAAACCCAGTTACTGAGCCCTTCTCAGAGAGCTGGAGAGCTTTCCCAAGCAGGCAGGTCCTTCCAGGCTGTGGGGTCCCCATGGTGGATCTGGAAGAGCACAATCAGAGCAAGTAACCTCAGTCAGCATTTCCATCAGCAGACACAGCTTATTTTCTGCCTCTTAGCCTTTCCTCCCTTTGTRAACGAACTATATCCACTGATGTGCCTGCATCCCATGTGTTCCTTTTTATTTCTGACAGCAACAAGGAGTRAGAATTTTTGTTATGCTCTACAAAGAGGTGGAGCTTGCCCTGGGGATCAACAGTGAATACAGCAAGCGGACACTCATGCAYCTGCATCCAAACATCAAGGTAAAGGCACAGGGCTGTGTGCAGGGAGTTTGCATTCAACTGTTCTTGATGGCTGGTGCTGGCCCTGGTGTATTTGGGTGGGAACTGCAAGTTCAGGAGTGTTTTCCAGCATTGCAGTGGGAATAGTCTGACAAGACACACCCATAAAGTGACTGCCGTGTCCGGCAACTTCATTTCTTTAGGTTCTAATGGAACATAAAATTGCTTCGTTTAGATTTGCCAGAGCGACTATTCATCTTAATTCACAAGAAGCATATTTCGTGTGACAAGTTAATGTGGTTACATCAAATGGAAAATTAGAATTTGAAAATGTTGTCTCACTTCAGCATTYCTGTTCAAACGTGAATGATGAGAGTCAACCCTGGGCGTTAATGTTCCCACCACATTGCACTGTCCTGTGCTGTTATGCTGCTGTTCTGGCACCAAGCAGAAAATCAGTTGTGGCAKATAAACCAGTAGATATGGTTAGATCCAGTCTCTTAAAGTTAGAGAYACATACATCTTAATGAGCAATAAGGTATTTGTTATGCTAGAATGATTTATTGTCACTTGATCATTGTCACAGTGAAGGGAAGCATCCATTCATCATCTTTGTGGAAAGACTGGAAGATACACAAAAGCAGTGTCACAGGTTTTGGAGCAGCCAGGTGAATTTTGGTAGCTCTTCTCTGAGAAGCTGTTCTAAYGGCTCTAACATAACAAAACTGTAAGCTTAGATACAGAAATTAGGGTTCCATAAACACTTGTCAAAAATAAATATCTAAACAAATGCCAAACTGATTTTAAATGGGGGGGAGAAACCACCCAACTTCTCATTTCACTTGTGTGGTGGCGACAACCAAAGAAGTGACTCAGATCACCARTATGTTGTTTTCTTTCAGAGCAGGCTCTGTGTGTGAAAGCTCAGCTTCTGCTCAACTGAAAGTAKGATTTTATTTGTTGAAGCAGTTTCTTGACTATGGTACTCTTATGAAACTGTTTAAGGATGACCTMTCCCAACATCAGTAACCATTGCTGTATGGGATTCCTGCATCTTGGGGAAACACTTGCCTGCCATATGGCTGACCTCAGCTGTGGGGAAATGGAATAAATTCAGTAGTTAAGCAGTGAATGCATCCATTAACAGCTCCAGCGTTTCCCCAAAAACCCCAAGCAACCAAAAAAGACTGGACAGCTCTGTGCCTGGCAGAATTTAAATTTGACAGTGATGCTGAGCTCGAGTGCTGGTTTCCTCCACAGGTGATGAGGCACCCAGACCACGTGTCCTCCTCTGTGTACCTGTGGGCCCACCACGAGAAGCTGGTGATTGTKGACCAGTCCGTGGCGTTCGTGGGTGGCATCGACCTGGCGTACGGGCGCTGGGACGACGACGAGCACCGCCTGACCGACGTGGGCAGCGTCAAACGTGCCACTGCCATCAAATCCGTGTCCACAGCCAACCTGGCAGTAAGTGGGCTGGGCCCAGMTGGTGGCCATGGTCACCCACAGATGGTCTCTGGCAGGGGTGAATGGGCTCTGTCCTCTTCTGAGCATAAGGTTGGGTTTCRGAGCTGTAATGATGAATAAGTGATGAGGAGGAGGAAGGATCTAAGCATTGAATGGCTCTTCAGGCTGGGTGCTGACCAGCCCTTGCTAGGGATAGGAGAGCTGGTTTTCCCCTGGAGCTTGGAACAGCAGTCACAGTTTGAAATCTGTGCTCCTAGACTTGTACAATCTTAGAATGCTTTGGATTGGAAGGGAACTTAAAGAGCATCGTGTTTCAACCCCATGCTGTGGGCAGGGATGATTTTCACTAGACCAGGTTTCTCAGAGYCCCATCCTGCCTGGCCTTGAACACTTCSAGGGATGGGGCAACCACAGCCTCTTTGGGCAGCCTCTCTTTTGTGAACAAAACCTAGCTAGAAATGCACAGTGAATGCTTGCAGAATGCTCTGAAATTCTCAATACTTGTGCCCTCAGCAGCTGCTGAACTTTCTGCTAACCTGTGTCTGTATACAACCACATATTTCTAAAAATTTGAGAGGTCTAGGGGAACGAGAATTTCAAGGGGAGGAATAATCCAGAATAATTTATGGAATCAAATGCTGCTAATATTACTAGACTTTCCTGGCAAGAGCCTCCTCAGAACAGACTCTCCCCAGAAAGCATGTCTAGTTCCCATCACAGTCTCTGTCACAGAGCAAAATTTGTTTTGTGGCTGTTTCTGAGCACTGACACAAATGAGAATCTGTACTTAAAGGGGAACCTCTTCATACCTGACCTGCAGCCATGTTTTGTGCCTTTTCAGTCTGCAGCGGAGTCGTCTGAACGTGTCCCACTGCAGCCTCAAGCTCTGACGCCAGAGAGCCACCTGTTCGAGAGAAATGCTGATGATGCCCCAGACACATCAAAAATGAAAGGAGTAGGAAAACCCAAAAAGTTTTCAAGGTTCAGTATTTACAAGCACCTGCACAAGCACGGCATGCACCATGCTGACAGCGTCAGCAGCATCGACAGTGAGTCAAGTAAGTGATGCTCAACTAAATCATGTATATAAAGGATGTGTGGAGGTGGGTGGGTGGGTGTATGTGCACATTCACAGGATTTCTGAAGCAATGTGTTCTTTGTATGGAAGGAAAGTTGACAAGTTACCTAACTATCAGAATTATGGTATTTTGTAGTCAACATGTAAATTTGTGTCACTGCAAAATCCAGAAGAAAGGTTTGATGTGGATTTTTTATTTAGCTAWTTAGCAATTTTCATGAGCCATCAGATGACGTCACATAATGTATGTGGTTCTTAATGTTTGTATTGTTGGGAAGTGTTTGTTTCCTGCAAGAGAGAATTGAATCTTTCATTTTTCAACTTGGATTTATTATAAGCAAATAGTTTCTGAATGGGATTATCCCCTCTCATAGACTAGWGTTAAAAGCTAGGTTTAAATAAATTCACTTAAATGGAAATTTTCCAAATTTACCCACTTACTAGAGAGTAAAGTCTGTTCAACAGCTGAATATTTAAATGCAGCTTTTAATTCCTAACATTAAAGATAACTTCAGTGCTAAAATTATAAAGATCAACTTGGCAATTTTTCCAACATGAAATCGTTCCTGAAAGTCCTCAGCTCCTGAAGATGTGGGAACTTACTGGCATTTCCATCCCTCTCTGCAGATCCTACTCCTGCCTCTGGCCTCTTGTTGGGAGTGTTGGTTGCAGKCAGTTCAGGACACAGCCATGGCTTWGTGCTTCATTACATCAGTTTGGGTTAAAAACAGCTGGGTCCTAAATTTGGTCCTTTGCCTGTCAGTCCCTGGTAGTTTCAGCAAATTGATGTCTGGTTTGAGCTGTGTCTGTCAGGTGTCTTCAGGCAGGAGCTGGCCCCAGTGTGGCAGAGGTGGATATGTGTTTTTGCCATGAATAGAACATCTTGACTTTCTGCAGGTTACTCTACCCCCACTAGGAGCCAGCCGAATATAATCCAGAGTTTAAGGCCCCATCTGAAAATGTTCCATCACCACAGTGAATCCAAACAGGGGCTCACTGAGCCTCGGGAGGGTAAGTGGAGGAAGGCAGAGCTGTGAACCCCTTCAGGCTTTAGCTGCTGATGTTTTTTGCATTATAACTATGGTGAGAGTGAGGTTGGGTGCCAGGATCAGCRTTTGCAGCTTGTTGTTCTCCCAGCATCCTTATCCCTCCTCTGAGGGCATCCTGACAGAAGAACCTTCTCCAGAAACTATGCATACTGCAGCATAAATACATAAAAATTTAAAAAAACYAAACCAAAACAACGACAACAGCAACAAACATAAAATCAAACAAAAAAACGAAAGAGGAAAGATAAAATTTGCAATAATGACAACAGGGAACAGTTGCAGAAATAGTTCTCATTCTGRTATGTGATGATTTCAGCAGCTCTCATCCTGCAAAGGAAGGGGTTGTTACTGGAACTGGGAAGTTCTGTATTGGATATTTTTAAAGTAAGCMTGATGCAGGAAARTATGCAAACAGAGAGAGGAAATAGYAGAGTGGCTGCTCCAGTCCTATGTTTSGACAAAGAGTTGGTGCCCCCTTTGTCTCCTAATTAAAACCAAGGAAAGCACACTCARTTGAGACAGGAGTTGGGTGGTTGTGAGCACTGAGCTGTTCCCATCTCTGGRCTGGTGTTGGAAGGGCCTGTCCCAGTGTGGTGCCTTTTCAAGATGCCTTTGGTTTCTGGTATGGAGCGAAGACCAGTTCTTCAGCATCTCCCTCTTACAAACATCTTCCTYTAAAGCATTAATTGCCAATTATAAAATATTGGTTACACAATARTGGCAGGCAACAAAGCATTTCCATCTGTTTGTGGAAATGATGTGCAGSCTCCCCTGTGGCCATTCATGCTCATTCATGAGTCACTGTGCAGTCACTGGAGCTCGGCACACGGAGCGTGTGTTGGCCTGTGTCCATGCATTCCCATTSCCACTCGGGCATGTCGAGTCAGTGATTCCCCAGCTCCACCTGGACTCTCACTAGAAGCTCAAGCTTCCCCAGGCAGCTCTGGTTCGTGCCTGCTGCACGGCATTTCTGGCATGGCTTGGCTCAGCTCGGCATGGCAGGGTCACAACGGCGCTGGCAGGGCTTGCTTTGTGTCACCTGGTCTTGTGCTGCTGCCAGTGTGTGTTTTGTTCACTGTTGAAAGTTGTTTTTTTTGTGTACCAAAGGGTTTTATGGTTACCTGGTGATGTGGTTGRGTTAGGAGGAGGTTTCTGCTCCTGTGTAATTGCTGTATAATTACTGCATTAGTGTTTGGTGTCATAGATGAAGGCTGCTCTCAGGGTCAGGAAATAACAYCAGTTAACTGTTTATGGTCTAGACCAACATTTTGGGATGTTTTAAGAGCGAGGGAAAATAGTTCACTGCACCCAAATATGTGCTCTGGAAAAGGGATTCCTGTTAGGAGGGAATATCCCTGTGTACAGTGTTTTAGACTGCTTTTAATCAAGACAAATTTGGAATTCAGGATCCATTTGTTCAACATGTAAAATTGTATCAAAAATGACATTGCTATTTGGGAAAAAATATAAAATTAATAAAAGTCACAAAACTTCATCAGGGAACATAAACATCTTGTTCTAGTTAGTAAAGACTAGTTCTATTAGAAGCAATACATGCTGCTAGAGAGGCAAAATAATAAACCCTCTAGCAGAGAAGGTGGAATTAGTTCACTATTACTGTAAAATATATGAAATAGATGATATACATGATGTGGACTGCCACATGGGAATATTTCAGTGCTATGGAACTGGGGAAAGGGAAATGGTTACAGGGTGATGTAGTCCAAGATAAAATTCAGCATCTGCTTTTCGTTTCCATAACAGAACTCCTATATATAACTTGTTCTGATGGCATAAAAAACATTAAAATAGGGAAGAAAAATACTAACCTACATCCCTTGAAAGCAACAGGAGGACTAGGGAGATACCAGCTTCAGCTGCTTGGGACTGGCAGGTCCCACCAGAGCTGTTCTGTGGCTGTGAGTGTGTCACTGCTGTGTGCAATGGATGGCCATGACTTTGGAGCATGTTTTTGTTTTGTTTGCCTGGGACAGATAAAGGATCCATCCGCAGCCTGAAGACGGGTGTTGGAGAGCTGCTTGGGGAAACCAGRTTCTGGCATGGGAAAGACTACTGCAACTTTGTCTTTAAAGACTGGGTTCAACTCGACAAGCCTTTTGCTGGTAAGTGGGAGTCTTTGYGTTCCCCTAAACTCTCTTCTGCATCTTTTCAGTCTCAAACCATATTTTTCTGCTTCCAAGCCAGAGRTARCGAGGSTGRTTTGGTTTGGCTGCTAGGAAGAAGCAGCAAAACTCCCTTTGAGGGGTTTTAGGGCTAATAAGGCTGTTACAGTCTGTGGACTTGCAGTCCAAGTTACCTGCCATGGGGGCCCTTAGTGCCACGTCCAAGAAACTTCAGTCTGAGGAGGGGGTCGCTCTGCTTTTCCACATTCGTGTCTTTTGTCTGAGGAAGTTCAAACGTGTTCCCCTGTCCTGCAGACTTCATTGACAGATACACCACACCAAGGATGCCCTGGCACGACATCTCCTCGGTGGTGCACGGCAGAGCCGCGCGTGACATCGCCCGGCACTTCATCCAACGCTGGAACTTCACCAAGGTGGGTGTGGGCGTCACTGCTGGGGGCACAGAGATAAGCCCAGCCTTGCCTCATCCTCCTGCCCTCTGTAGGCATCTGTTTTATTTCGTTGTGTTGTTCTGATATGTTGCAAGCRTTTTTTCTTTATCTGTTGCAAGCATTTTTTCAAGGATTTTTTCTTTATCTGTTTTCTTCCCCCTGTGCAGATTATGAAACCCAAATACCGGTCCCTGTCCTACCCRTTCCTGTTGCCAAAATCTCAGCAAACTGCTAATGAGTTGAAGTATCAGGTGCCTGAGGCTGTTCCTGCCACAGTCCAGGTGGGTGGTGGTGGTCTTCTGCTCACATATTTCTTAGAGAATTTTTTCTGCATCCTCCCAGGAAGTTTGGCTGCCTGCAGATCCTCTGCAAAACTTGAATTATCAGATGCAAAACTCTTATTTAATTCATCTCACAAATTAGGTGGTCAGATCCTCAACTGCAGTAAAATAATGCAGCTCTTTCAGTAGAGAGGCATTAATTTATATCTCCACCTTTGAGATAAGAGGGATAAGCTGTGTGCAGAACTCAAGCAGAGGGAACACCGTGACTTTGCATAACTGTGTGGTTTTATGGTTTGTTTTCTGCCTCTCTTCATCTAACAGCTAAGATTTGGGTTTTATGATTTGAGAAGGCCTGATGGGTTRAGGTTCCTCAATGAATATTTATCTCAGATCTTGGAGGAGTCTGTCAAGCCCTGATGCCTCGCTCAGATGGGTGGTGGTCAGTGAGAGCCCAGCATTAAGTGGAGTCTTGGGGCTGTTGCTTTCTGYCTTGAACTTCATCTGCACTTTATTATGCAGCCCTGCACCCCTGTGGGTCCTCTGCAGCTCCAGTCAGCCCACAGTCTGGTTGGTGACAATCATCCTCACAGTCAGAATTGCCAAGATACTTCTGTTTAAAAGCCCAGTTAGCTCTRTCGAGTGTGTGTATTGAATACTGCTATTACCCAGCAGAAATAGGAACTTGTTGAAGAGTACAAAGTCAAAATGGTTACGCTGAAGCAGCAAAACCATTGTGTAGATGAAAGATGTATGAAGTAAGTGCAGTTAGACCAAAACCAGCAAAAATGCATGACTTTGCTCTTTGTAAGGAATGGTCTGCCCAGATGACAGCAATGCTTGGGGAAGCTTACTGAAATGAGATGCTTTTTTCTGGATTTGTGGGTTGCCAGGGCATTGTCTGCTCCTCTCTGTGTGGTGTGAGGGATGGGTGGCACAGGGATCTTGTGTCTGGGGTGTTTYACATCAGCCTCCAAAGCAATTCTCACAGCTTGCTGGGAAATCATCCCCTTCAGGCATCKTCCTGCTTCCTTGTGGCTGTAAATGCCTCCCTGTCTGTGTCTGATACCAGCTTTTTGGGAAATCTTGTTCCCATGGAAGTGATGGGGCTTGTGTCCCTTGAGCTTGCTTAACTGCAAGATAAGCCACAACTTCTAAATCACAGGGTTTGCTGTAACAAAAAGTCAAGCTCTACTGATTGCAGAACTGGAAGCACTTCCCAAAAGAGAAATTAAACTGAGAACAAGCTAGATCCAACTTCCCCTCAGTCCAACTGCAGAGCTGCTGGCTCAGAGCATTGGGCTGTGGGAGAGGAGGATGGAGCTCAAACGGTGACTGCAGAATCTGCAGACTCCAGTGCTGAGTGATGGGTGAGCAGTTGGAAAAGCAGCCTGGCCACCGCATTGCTGGGGCATTGCAAATAACTGATACATCCAGGAAATGAGGGGCCRCTCTCAAGGATGCCATAAACAGCAAAAAGGGAGCGGGATAGTCTTGTAAATTATTCATTTGAAACCACCTTGCTCATTTCTTATTTATGCATCTGTCAAAATAGCCCTGCATGTAGCCAGATAAATAAAACTAGATGATATTAGGCTGCAAACACGTTGTCTTGAAATGTGCCAGCCTTTCCAGTATGGGGGAAAACTGAAGAGCATTTGGTGGAAGCACTGATGAGGGCCTCCTGTGCCTGGGCTATCCCTAGGCTTCAGCTGGGTTAGGATTTCTGGGTGATCTCCTCAAGCTACAAGGCAGGGGTTTACATGCTCATACTGAAATTTTGCCTGTCTCCCCACTAATGCCCACACTGGCCTGGTTTCCATCAGTCCCCAGGTGACACAAGCGCTCTGAGCATCCCTGAGGTCCTGCTGTGGGTCAGGGAGTGGCTCAGCCTCTGCTCCTGATGGAGGTTTCAGATTTGACTKCTGTAGGAGGTGGGGAGAGAGGAGGACACCTGCAGCCTGGATCTGAGCTCCCTCTCCTGGCTGCCTTTTTTTGGGGCTCCCAGGATGTGCATCAGGGTATCTCTGTGTGACTTCTCCTTWCCTGCAGTGACAGGAATATCAACTCTTGCCTGTCCAGTTTATTTATTTTGGAACAGCGGGCTCTGGTGCTCATATCTCCTCTCTGGTATGGTCCAGCACAGAAATGCAGATATCCTAAATTCTTTCACCAGTGTTTTATGCAGAAAAACTAGAGCAATATTCTTGTTGTTCTTAATACTGAATCCTTTGGCTGGCTAACAGCCAAACCCCTGTTATCCCCATTTGAGTACTGTGTAGGGATTTTGTAGGRAGAAGTTACTGCCCCAAGGTAAAATCCAGTGTCCCGGGACTGTCTTTGGCTGTGGGGTGATTGAGGAAAGCTTGGCTGCTAGTTTTCTTGTTTCTGACCTTGTTTGCAAATCTGTCTTCAATTGTGGGCAGWTCAGAGGGAGGGAAAAGACAAAGGATCCGTGGGGATTGCAATGTTGCTGCAAGCCCAAACCACTGACCTGTCAGCAGCAGATTCCAACCTCATTGTACCATCTGGTTTTGCTCTCCTTTGTCAGAGGAGGGGAATAGGAAAGCATTTTTGGGAGRATAGGGCACTGACAAGGGCTTTCCCCTGGGCAGGGAGGATGAATGCAGTGTGTGTGGGAAGCWCTGTGGAGGTGCAGGCTGGGAAGGACGAAAAGGAGTCAGGCATGGTCTCTTATCCTCTTTCATTTGAACTTCGGGGCTTTGCTTGCAAYAGCAATGTGATTTTTGCAAGAGCACATTGATTCTTGCAAGAGTCAAACAGAGATCTGCCAAAGGCATTGACAGGGTTTTTTCCATCTCCCTATTTCCACTCCAGAGTTTGCAGTTATCTGCCAAAGGCAGTGTTGCAAAAGATGTGATGTGGTGAAGCAACATCCCATTCCTGATRGAAATGCAATGAAAATTTAATGCTCTGGCAGCAGCTGACGCCCTCACCTCTTTGAAGTCTGCGTGAGAGCTCGCATTGTTCAGGGTTTATGCACTAACCCTCAGCAAACATCACATTTATTACCCTTATATCAGCTAGAGAAGTTAAAGGGGTGACAAGCTATTGAGAGGCTCAGGGGAGGGGATTCTGGGAAGCATGTGGCCTTTTCTCCCTAGGAAATAGATTGGGTTTGAACCAGCTCCCTTCGAATACTTTGACAGGTAAGAGAAATCCAGAAGTGTGAAATGGAGCATCAGTGATTAGGGAAGGGCTGTGTAAGAAACTTCCAGGTGTTGGTTTGTGTGTCTGTGAGTGCCACAGCTCAGTCTCCATGGRATGCTGCATTGGTGGCCTTGTCCTGCCACCTCCTCACTTGTCCCTGTGTCTTCAGAGCTGCTAAAATAATTTTATTTCGAGGAGGTCCAAGCTTTTACATCTTACACCCATTCTGCTGTCCCATCCAGTGTTTTCTTTCCTCTGCACGTGGATTTGAGGTTGTATCTGATGGAAGCTTTCTGGGTGATTCTGTGCCAGCTCTTTGGAATGAGCCATGACACATTGTTGTGGGGTGAGGCAGAGGGATGATGGCACTGTGACAGGGTAGTTTGGGGTGTGGGGTGAGCTGGGGTGCCAGTATTTGGAGGGTGAGGAGGAATGCAGGGAAGGGCAGGTGGATGATGCACTGGGAAACCATGGCGCTGGAAAGGGATGGTCCT